AAAAAAAAAATCTCAAATAATTCTCTATCAAAAAAAGCCAATAAAAAAAAAAAATTTTTTTAAAAAAAAATTAAATGGCGGGTACCCGATATGTGAAACGGCGGGTACCCGATATGTGAAGCGGCAGGTACCCGATATGCGAAGCGGCGGGTACCTGATATGTAGAACGGCGGGTACCTGATATTTGAAACGGCGGGTATTCGATCCCTTAATAATTTAAAATTTGGTCCAAAATAAATTAATAAACCGTTATAATATAAAGCGCATACGCGTTAAATTATGTAGCGTATACGCGTTGCTTTTTATGGCGGGTTACCCCTGAAATTGACAGGTTAACCCAACAGAACAGGGGTAACCCGCCGTGAAATATAACGTGTATACGCTACGTTTTGTAGCGTGTACACGCTATATTTTGCTACGCACTTTTGACCACTACCGCTTGCCATACACTCGTATGTATGCAAAATGCAATTTTTTTTTACTGCGGTGATGCGATGATGTCACGATGTCATGCTTTTTTTTTAAAAAAAACTTTTTAGGTTTAAAAATTTTAAAAATTAAAATTAAAATTAATTAATCATTTAACACTTTAAAGATTTTCCGTTTAAAGAACAATGTGGTTTAACGTGGTTTGAATGGATGTTTATTGGATGATAAGGTGATTTACGAAAAATATATAACAATGTATTATATTATTATTATTATTATTATTTTCAGTATATATTTACCTCTTTTGGTATATTTACTTATTTTTTCAATACTAAAGCATACTAAAAACATATTCATTTTAAAAAAAAATCCCATTGTTTTTTAAATTTGACATAACAATGTCGTAGCATGGTTCATGGTTTATTATTTAACAAAGTGATGTCATTTTATTAATAATCAACATCAGGGACTATTGTTATTTTTGAATAAAATGGTAAACAAATATGTAAATACTTGTAAATACAAACCCCAATAATGGGGAAAAATATTATAAATATTATAATACATTTTTTTCAGTTTGTTTATTCGTTATTATAATACATACATAACATTTGATCAAAAGAATGAATCATATTATCATATTTGATCATATTTTGATCAATAACATAATTAAAAATCAATGATAGTTTGAATAAAGAAAAAAAAATGTTTACACAAATAAAAATGCTTTGTAAATAAATAAATAAATATATAAATAAACATTTAGAAAATCAAAAAGAAATTTGTAATTTATTAATTTATTTACTTTTTTACGTTTATTTACACTTTACGGTTTTACGATTTAAAAGAAAAGTTTTTGTAATTTTGCAGTTTTTGGGATTTTTGCAGTTTTGCTATAAAACACTTTCCAAATTTTCCAAATTAGAGTAATGGAAAACCTTAATTAGGATAAATGTTTGAACTCTGAACAATAAATATTTAACTTGATAATTAATGATATGATAACAACGATAATAAATGATAATCTTAAGAAAAAAAAGAAAAAAAAATTTTTTTTTTTAAAAAAAAAAAATTAACCGAGAAAAGTCAGAAAACAATTAGCCGAGAAAAACAAGAAATTCTTAAAAATTCTTAGAATCAACCATGGAATTGTTTATGTTGTTAAACTTGAAAAATTAAACTGGCGTACACGTAACTTGTACACGCTAATGACAAAATATACAGTATTAATAATATTAACTAATAATTTTATTAACAAGATTAAAGAAATTTTATTATGAAAAAAAAAAGTCATATTATATCATTATAATAATACAATAATCGAAATTGATAACATCCATATGACATCCATATTCCATATTTCCATGATATCCATAAAGTCTTCATTGAAACTTTATTCACTTTTAATAAAATTAAATAATGCAACAAATATTCTTTTTTATAACTCTTTTCTGATTAGTTAACTTAAAAATATTTTCGCATATTACATATTTTTCACAATGTTCTTACATTATAATTTTTATAATTATAATTATTTAAAAGAAATCTCTTTTAGTAAAAAGGTCTTTTTAAGAAAAATGCACATGTTCTTGTATATGTAGGAACTCGGACTTTGTTGAAAATTTTTTTTTAAAGTTTTTAAAATTAAAATCATCCAAATATAGAACCAACAAATAATAGCCCTATGGCCTACTAAGATTATAATATTACCAAGAATTGAATTAAAATTTCTGATTACCCCATTGGCAAGTGTTACCATAATAAAAATGGTTCGATATACCGGAACACGTGACGATTCACAATTTTAAACCAATAAAATTACAGTATTTTCACGTGATACAGATAATCTCATTTTTTTGAGCAACATGATAATTTTTTTTTTATAAAAAAATTATTTCAGATAGTAAGAAAAAGCAAAATTTTTTTAAGTTTTGGTAAATTTCAGTGTATAAAATTTCTCAAATAATGTTTTAAATAAAAATAATCTAAATTTTCAATGTTCGTCGCAACATGTCGCACAAATAAAAACTTGATATAACGGAATTTCATGTGATTTATATATAAAATCCGGTATATCTGAATTTTTTGATATATCGGAAGTCTCGATATACCGGATATTTTTACTGGAACGGATGGTTCCGTTATATCGAATTTCACTGTGTATATCCAACGAAATTGATCGGAACAAATTAATTCTATGAATAGTAATTTGGCGGAAAGCATGCTACACGTTATACAATTTTAAATATGTGGATTTTTTATAGATTTATAAAATCACTATTTTACAGATTAAATAAGTCGTAATTTACAAGTGTAGAATAGCCCAAGGTTGCAAAAATAATGTGACATATTCTTAAGTATTAAATATTTCGTGATTATTTAGCAATATGAGCAATTGCAATCTGTTCGCCCACGCGATAATGCTTGTGTTTGCCAGCAAGTATTTTAACTTTGCTCTGCGCTTGGAACAAGAGAACAATGTCAGACCCACCAAACTGGAAATAAGATATCTCATCCCCTTTCTTCACTTCTTCCTCTTCCTTAACGGAGAGGACCACAGAAGACACCTGACACATACCGATTGGTAAAACAGCCACTTTCCCAACTTTTGGTGAATCAATCACAATTAGACCGCGAGCCTGGCAGAATTGATACCCTGGAGAGTTCGGAGCATAGAGTGCTCGAGTAGGAATGAGTCTATATTTGTCGTTAGAATGTTTTTTAACATTAACTTCAAGATAGGTCTGACCTGGAATGACTTTGGCTTCTAGCACTTTGCCATCGACAGGAGCATGCAGACGATGATAGTCGTATGGTGCGAGAAATGCGTGCATAAATTTCCCTCCGCCAAAGTCATTTGCGTACTTACTGTTTGCAAGTAACTCGCCAATGGTCCAAGGTAGGCCTTTCAAATGTACAATTGAATCAGCATTGATATTCCAAGAGCCATCGAAGGTTGAGTCTGCGGCACTCACGATAATCGCTGGGTTGGAGGGACCGTCAATGGGCCGGGTTCCTGGCAAGAATTTTCGCGCGAAAAATTCGTTGAAAGAGTGCCCTAACCAGCCTCCTGGAGGAGGCGGGTAGTCATCAAAGTTGTAGTTTTCTGCAGTACGAAAAGTCTCTAGAGATTCTTCGGTAAGTGATTGAGGTGTATCGAGAAATTGTCCCATGGCTTTGGCAAAATCGATTATCCATTCGGATAGCGCCGTCAACGGCGGTGGTGGGTACGATGAAGGCTTAATGGGTGACTGAAAATTTATAACCGATTTCTGATCGAGGACAAAGTACATCGTGCAAAGCATATTGTAAACGAAAGTTCCTGTTTCATTCTCTTTGGGCACCCACAATACCAAGTAATTAAGAAAATTGTAGTAATCGATCAAACTGCCAATATTACGCATATTTTCGACGCCTGTCTTTTGAGCGTTATAGACCGCCTCCTCAAATTTATCCTTCCAGTTATTGCCATCAATTAAGTCCTTCAGACTTTTAACAATAGGTTGATAGGCATCAGGAGTCTGACTAGGGAAAGGCCCCAAAGATTTCTCAGTCATGTTTTTCCGAGATATAATGTCGACGGACTTGTTTACGCGAAGTTGTTTGTAGGAATCAATAAGATCCAAATACGTTCAAAGGCAGAGTTCAAAGATTTTAATATTTAGTGATAACTCAAAAAATACGAAATTGCTTCTCATGTAAAAATTAAAAATAATTAATAAAAAACGTCTCGGTGCCAAATACTAACAATTATATCTTTTAATATTGTCATAATTTAGTAATTATTATAACCTCAAATTTTTTTTATCAAAAAGGTTAAACGTAAATTTTTCTTTAAAAAAAGCAAACATATTATTATATCTTTTGTTTTTATTGAATTGTCCTAATTTAGTAATTATTATTTTAATATTGCATATCATTTTAGGACGAACTTTAAAAAAAGTGGCGTAATAACAATTACCCTAAATAGTGCTTCAAGACCGGTCTACAAACCGGTTTAAACCGGTTTGGCCTAAAGAAACCAAGACCGGTTTAACTAATTTTTCCTTTTTAGGTAGATTGAAACCGGAAACCGGTTTAAAATCTTATTACAGAGAATTTTTTCAAACCGGTCTCGCAAAAGTATCATTCTTGATAGACATGAGGTATTATTCTTGATAGACTTTACTGTAAAATATATTATGATATATTATGCATATCAAGATTCTCCTGCATATCTATCAAGAATGATATTTTTGCACCGGTCTCTGGTTAAACCGGTCTGAAACCGGAGACCGAAAACCGGTCTTGTCTTGAAGCACTACACCTAATTTCATGTAACACATTTCGGCTGCTAATTTAACCGCCATTAAGTGAAACAACTTGGTTGTCAAGCACTTTTCAATTTTTTTTATTCCAAACTAAACAAGTTTATTATTACGACGGAGATCATCATTTTTAATTACTGAATCGCAATGACGTAAAAGTATTTAAGTATGTGATAACATCATTAGTTTATTTCGTAATATCTTTGAAAAATTCGCGTTCCATTTTTCTCTTATAATTTATAAAAAGTATTTATATTTTTTAATACTGTATTTTAATATTATTAAATAGGACAAATAAAATAGTTGCATATTTAGGTTTTCTATCAAGAAGCATTTCAAGGTCGATGCTGTCGTACAAACTCCACGAGATGGTAATATCTGATATATGTTTGTACGTCTTACTTGGTTATGAAATTATATTCAATATCAACAATATTAACCCTAAATATATTAATAATAAAAATAATTTTCGTGACAATTTACTTTAATGTAACAACTTTACAATAATTATACTTTTTTTCATGATATTTAAATTTTTTGATTCAATCTAATTAATCCTGAAATGGCTCTATAATTGTTACTTAGGGTGAATCGGTGAGGAGCTGAGAAAAAGTTGATGCTCCAAGTATTGATATATATGCGAGGCCACTATCCATGATAACATGACGAACTAATCAAAATTTTTATTTCCTGATACTTATTAGAATCAGTTTCCTCTTTGGTTAATACAAAGCCTATTATATCAATCTTGGACAAGAAATTATGAAATTTGGGAATATAATTGGTTAATGGTTTTATATTGAAAGTGAAGAATTTTTATTACATTATAAATTTCATAATTTTTGATAATTAAACATTTCATAAGGATTTTTCCATAGTTCTATCACTTCCAAAGTTTATCCATTACGACATATTTCAAAATGATGAAAACCGGAATGAAATAAATATTTTAAATTAGCATCTACCTTTTTATTGATCGTTTTATGTAAATAATACAAGCCGACGTAATAAATATGTAAAATTAATATGTGCGAAAGTTATTTAAAAGATTACTCTATGAAATTCTCAAAGTTATCGTTACGTTTCTGAATTCTGGTAATAATAATAATAAACGTGATGCACGATATTGAATCACGTTACGCGACTATCATATTTGAATATGCAAGCTCGATCAAAATTTAGAATGGCTAATTTCGGCTGAATTATGTCCCAAATCTAGCCGATCTTTGGAGTTGCCGACACGTTACTTAAACCCGTATGGTATGGTTTTTATGTATGCACTGTATGCTAAAGTATGCAAATCCATATGGACTTTGTAAGAAATCATACATGTATGAATTTTGCATAACAATACATGGCGATCAAGCAAAATAGTACGCTACCTATCAATCTCAAATAATATAATCAAGAAAAAGGACACATTTGCATTTTTTTTTAATTTAAATATTATAAATATACTAAATAATTTGTTGTATTCGCTAACTATTACTGTTAAATAAAAATAAAAATAAAAAATATACTAAATAATTTGGAAATATATTTGCATGTTGAACATAATAAATATAAATTAGTCGATATGTCGTTTATAACTACTAAGCCCAATTTCACAAATAAACAATTCTTATAAAATCAACCTAAAAAAAAAAAATTAAATATTGGACACAAATTCTGTGATATCTCTAACAACTGATTTAGTGACTTCCCATGGTGGTGAGTGTCCAATATCCTTATAAACGATTTTTTTCCCATTCTTAGCAAGATTTGCAAATTGTAAAGCGTAATTAATTTATCTTTCTCCCCGATAAGATTTAATGTATCTAAAGAACTAAAGAAATCCCAGAAATCCCTAAAATCAAATTCTATAATTAAATAAATTTTCTTAATTAGTTATATATAATAATGATTTTTTTTAAAAAAAAAAAATAAATTTTTAATTAATACTCACGTTTAGCTTCAAATTTTCGATATTCAGGTGGTACAATAATAGATTCACCAAGCTTAAAAGCACGAAATTGATCAGATGCTGGTTTAAAAGTTCTAAAATTCGAAATTCCGTTTAATCCATAAGCAATTGTTGAAAATTTATAATCTGGATCAATTGCTGCAATGGAATATTTTACAAATTCTTCACTAGTATTTAAACTTGCTTCTGTAAAGTTTAAATATATCATTCCTCCAACCGAAATAAATCCATCAATTTTGATATCAGGATTAATTTTCATAAATGTCATAGTAGTTGGAGTTCCCATTGACCATCCAACTGTAATTATTTGGTTTATCTATTTTAATTTTTGTTATTACGGCCTGAAGATCTTGTCCACTTAATTCAAGTGAGTACGATTTAACATCTCTAGGTTTATCACTTCTTCAAGTTCCTCGATAATCCCATCTAACAAGATGAAATTTTTCTCCAAGTTCTGTATCATACCATAATGGATGCCAAGATTGTCGTGATGACATATAACCACTGCTGGTAAATAAAATTGTGGTCTTTTCTGGATTTCCTTTTTCTTCTACATAAATTTGAATTCCATTTCCACCACTAACATAATAATTAACAGTTTCTATTGGAAATGTATGAATAGGAACTTGCGCAATTATTACTTTAAAAAAGAAATAACTAATAATTGTTAAAATTTTGATTAAATTTGACGCGGTTGGATACTTTTCACGATAAAAACTATCCCACGAACTTACTTTCCATTGTGTGTATGGCCTCTCCCAATAACTGGAATAACGAGTATCACGTTTAACGATTTCTGGCAACATATTAAACATAAAGTAATAAGAAAAAAAGAAGTGAGTAGAAGGATATTAGGAATCTTAATTAATTTTTTTTTCACGTCAACATTTCATACTATTTAACTATTTCGTTTAGACTCAGCTCTCCGAAAATAGTTTATTTTAAAAGTCCAATAGCGGATAGTGAATTTATGCATCAACTATCAATCTGCGATCACTCCCCGAAGTAACGAGTTTGGGATGCATGCATGTAATCATTCAATATATTAAATATAATAGCATATATAGTATAGTGCAAATTGTACAAGTCAATTAATCTGATATACAGAAGTTTGACTAGAGTTGTTAGAGTAGGGCAATGACTCAGTAGCAAAGCTTAACAAGGTTACATATTTTTTATGAATATGCAATAATAGCAACATACAATTTTATAAGCTATATCCTTTATTTGTTTTTATCATGCATTATATCTCTTTTACTCTGTATAATTTTTATTATTATTATAAACATCATTTGTTTAATAATATCTTTAAGAACAAATTTAACAATCAGGAAGATACAAATCCAATTAGCAAAACATTATAAAATAGAGAACATGTTTTTAGAATAAAAGTTAAATCACAATTTACAAGGTTGAAATTGACACCCATGTATAAGATGAATAAATATAAACTACTGTATGATATAAGAAAATAAATATAATATAATAGATAAATATGATAAGACATAGTTACTATGGCATAGGCATAATATTATGTAATTTAAAAGAATTGAGCAGGATTAAAATCCCTAATCATTTCTTGTTGAAATTTCAAACATTGCATTATCATATCATGTTGCTGTTTTCGCACAAGTAGCTGCTGTTGTTCTTGCAGCTGTCTCGATGATTGCTCCACTTGATTCCGACTCTGTTGCTGCTGTGCTTGCAACTGTCTCAATTGCTCCATTTGATAATGTTGCTGTTGTTCTTGCAACTGTTTCAATTGCTCCATTTGATTCTGTTTCTGTTGTTCTTGCAACTGTTTCAATTGCTCCATTTGATTCTGTTTCTGTTGTTCTTGCAACTGTCTCAATTGCTCCATATGATACTGTTGCTGTTGAACTGCTGGCTGTTGCACTGTTGGCTGAGGCATAAATATTACAGCTGGTTTAGGTTGAGGATGTTCCTAATATAAAAATCAATAATTAAATTAACTTAAATACTTAACGCGAAAAGTGAGGTTTTTACAATTACCCATTGGTATATTCCGGTTTTTGTATCATGATCTATAAAAAAATATTGTTAATCTTGTAATAAGTTTAGCTAAAATCATAGTAAATACATACAATAAACTCGGCCATAGTAGTCAACCTAGAGCGGAATGATAGTGAAATTTAAACTTTATTGATCAAACAAACGAACATAATTATATTTACTCACGTATGAATTCCATCCAGGGGGCAAAGGAGTACTCATTTTACGGTTCACTGAAAAGAAATATACTGAGGAAGGGGAAAACAAATATTATTCAATCGAGTAAGAAATTTTGTGTCTTTTATGTCTTAAAATGGTTAGACAAGGAGTTTAGTTTGAAGTTCTACGATGACGTATTGGACAAGCACAAATGCAGGGGGCTGTTGCAAATTTTTTGCTTGAAACATTTTGCATACATTTCGATGAGATCACGTGACTAAAATGTCTAACCGACAGTATTAACCATCACCGGTGTAATACCTATGCCCGTGATAAATCACGTTGCCACCATAGGTGTTGACAAAATAATACTTTATTAATATATAAATAAATACAATAATATGCTCGGTTTAATAATATTAAATAATGGTTAAATATTTATCCTAAAAATTCTAAAATTCATTTTTAAAATTCGTAACTTGGTTTTTAAGTCTAGATTGTCCCCTTTTTATGTTTTATTTTGTATCACCTTAACCTGTTTTATTGCGTTGGACATTTACAAATTGTTTGGACATTTTCTCAAAAATATCAAAATGTCCACAAATTATTTTTCAAATAAATATTTGTCCACTGACAAAATTAGTATTCCCAAATAATTTACCAACTTGTCCAACATTTTCATAAACCGTCTATTTAGATCAACATAACTTATCTCCTTAAATGTAACGTTTCCTCAGTTATTTCATGATCTACAAATTAATCACTTGATATCCTAATCACCTGAATTTCAAACTATACTAATATTAAATATAATACTGCGCCCCACAATTATTAAATCTACTAGGTAAGTTACGGCATTACACCGGTGGCGAGATCGCGTTGTTCATACTTCATATTATTTCGATGACCTTTTTTTTTAGTAGGTTGATGCTTATTCATCACCCTATAAGTGTGTGCAAATGCAAATTTTTTATGAGAACAAGCACAGTTCTTCTGTGTTAAATTTCGAGAATAGGCAAATTTCTTGTTGTTCAATGACTGATTCGATGCAAATTAATTTCTAAATCATCGGTAGTTGGATCTTCATGAAACAATTCATTAAAGTCGGGAATTTCTTTATTACAAAATTCTTTTGCCAATTTGGCTAAATTTTGTTTTAAGTTATTCATAATTTCTGTAAAGCACTAATTAAAATTTTTTTTTCTATATCGACTAAATTTTTTTAACTATTTTTAATCATGAATTTTTTGAATTGATCTTATATAAATAATTCTTTTAAATTGTCACATGATTTGGTAATGTTACTTTTAATTATGGTATTTATGTTATTTTAAAAACAATTCTAATAATTTCGATTCAAGAAAACATTTTTTTCTGGGTCGATTAGATAACAAGGAAATTTCAAAATTTGAATGTTCTAGTTTCATATTTCTAGCGAACTTAAATTTTATTTCTAAACTTGAATTATTTGATCGCATTTAAATTTTATTTGTTTCGCTAATGCAAGTATTGCATAAAATATGCTTGTGCCAATATTTAAATTCGCAGTTTAATAAAAAACAAAAGCCATAAAATTCAATTTCATTTTCTTTTATTTCATGATTTTCCAAAATACAGTCGCAAGCACTATACCTTTTGAGTTTATTTTCACTTAGTATCCTCCTATAATTGTGATGATTTGCTTCTTTCATATTTCATATGTTTCTTTATACTTTTTTTTTTCCTTAAATAATTTATCATGCATTGTGTATTAATATTACTAATTACGAATGATGAGAAATTTATTTTTTTAAAAACTTTTGAGAGATTTATTTTACGTCACTGAATATATTGAGTTATATAAACATAAATAATACGAATATAAATATTATTACTAATACTTTCATTGAATTTCAACTCAATGTATTATTTTTTTAACATGTATTATTATAGTTATTTTGGCATTATCTTAAATGAACATAAAATTATGATCAGTCAAAAATTTTATTAGTATTTTCATTAAATTCATTGAATTTTTTAAAAAATTATAATATGTATTATGTAATAAAATTATAATCAACTCACTAATTATTTAGTCGCTAAAGCAATAACATACAATTATTGTAATTATTTTAGCATTATCAATAAAAAAATTAAATTTGATTGCAATAAAAAATGTAAATTTATGGTCAATCAGAATATTTTATTAGGATTCATTGAATTTTCTAAAAAACTATAAAGTGTATTATTTAATAAAATTAAACTAAAATTTATACAAAATACAAGATCATTTATTTCAAATTACAATAAATTTGTTAATAACGTTAATTTAAAGTACTACGATACATTTCTACTTCACAATATTCTTACAATAATTGAATATATCATTCTCTTTGGGTTTGGTATTCGACATTTTACATGTTAAGATTCGAAAGATTAGTATAATTCTAATGTGCAATTATGTGCAATTTATTTGTTTTTATTGTTTTATTGAATATCATCATGCAATATTAATCCATACAGCAATTTACATATTTAACTGATAATGATTTTAACAAAGCATAAATTATGAAAAGAAATTATCAGAAATCTATTAAAAAAGATTGCAAATTTAGGCAATCTCAGGTTGGCGAATAAATGTGGCATTAAATCTTTCCCTTACATCGTTTAAAATCCACTCAATAGGAACAACGTAATAAAATGGATGACCGTCCGTAACATTAATTCCCATAATCTTCCATGCATGTCGAATACTGGGAAGCCTGAATCACCTTTTATACCTGTACATTAAAAATTAGATTCAATCAGAAACAAAATATAAGTATTTCACTAGTTATAAACTTTACATATGTGTAAATACAGTACTATTATTTCAATTAACTTACCAAATTTATTAGATTCATCATTTATGCTGACAACCCGTAAAGAAAATCTTTTCTTTCATTCTTTGTCCAATCTCTTTTTTCCATTAATGATAACTGGAGGAAAAAAGTGACTCACTCTATCTTCAATGAAACCTCCTGTTGTAAAAGTGCTTCTTCCAATTTTTTAGACATATCCATAGTTGACAATATCATTGATAAGAGCTTGATTATCATTTTCATTTATTTCAGAGTTGATATTACAAATTTCAGTAATTGTAATATTACTTCCCAATGGAACATTTGGCATTCCTAGTATCTTCCAATTTTCAATCTCACAGAATGCGTAATCGATATAATAGAGATTATGATTGGATCCAATTAATTATATTCGGAGACCTTTGCACAAGGTCAGCGTCAATCTTAAGAATAATTGTTAGAAAAAATATCATGTAATAATAATTTTATAGATGGCATACCTTGTCAAATTTTCCTGGTTGAAACACTTCACTTCCTTCCTCCTTTACACTATGTTTAACTGTTAACATATAATTCTTACTTGGCTCTGCAACGTTTTTAAACAAACCTATAGCCATCAACTTTTGGACTATTAATACTTATGCCAGGTATAATGAAAATCAAAATCAACATCGTATTTAACTAAACTGGAAACCCTTCAAATTCTGATGGTAAATAGTCTAACAATTTTATATATTAAAAGGAAAAAAATCAAACTTTATATTAGCTTCATCAAGTTTTTGATGCTTGATATGTTTATGTTTGGTTAAGAAATCATCTAAATTACGGTATGGTCATTTTTCAACAATTTTACCAGCGGTAACAACCCTATCATCAGGAATAATATTTTTAATTTTTGTCAGTTCCGAGAAATACTAGCGTCTCTTCTGAGATGTAAACAAAGATTCTTTATTATCTACCAATCCTATGTTTACTGCTGATAATGGAAGAGATTCAAATACTGTAGTAAATTTATCTTCAACATCATTAAATATACCAAATGATCACTTCTTATGATTGGAGTGATTTTTCGTCCATTAAGATTCACTGCAATGGTTGTGATTTTTTCTATGTGTATCATATTGGGTTAAAATGTAATTCTGTTTCATTGATATTATATTAAGTAATATACTAACCTGTTAAGTAAATGTTGACTCGGAATAATCAGCGTTAAATAGTGAAATCATCGAAAGGTTGCTATCACCAATACACTCACCAACATCAAATGACTTGATAATTCAAGCCCTAGGACAGATTGTTGCCTCTGATTTTTTAAAGTAAAAACCTCTTGGTTTTCGAAAAATAGCGTATAGTCGCATTGCCACATGATCGAATAATTATCAATATTACCCTTAATCATTTTAAGGCTGATAATGTTTATGATACTTTTCAAAGATTTAAGTGAATATCATTGCTAATACTTCTCTCATTAAGTCTCCTTTTAATCTTCTTTTTAATCTTCCTTTTAAATTTCTTAATAGTAGACACTCTGTTTATTTCAATGGTAAAAAATATTCATCTATGATTTTAAAAGGTTCATCTAAAATGATGCTGGTTGAGCCTTTATTGATATTATAAGTTTTTTTAAGTCTGGTTTGAAGTTAAAAGGAAAAGACCCTAATTCATCTCGGTTAAATAAGACAAATATTAAAAAAAATTTTAGACATATTTAAAAATATTGATATGTATAAAAAGGCTGTAATAAAATAGTGCAGAAAAGGATAAATAAATGGAAAAAAAAAGGTGTGAATGATGTAATAATAACTATTTTAGTACATGAATTATATTTTTTTTTCGCATAAGTAATTTGATTTATTAAAATTTTGATCAGTATATTAAAAACAAAATTATTATCTTTATGAATTGTAAATGATGAGTAAAAATTTTTGCATAATTTTTTTCAACGAATCATTATCTCCAAATTTCCACCCTATGATTAAAATTGTTAGTGTCAGCTATTAGGTAAATCCGTAAAAAAGATGAAATTAATTTTTAATAAATAATATTTTATATTAATCTTCTATACAATTATTTTATTTAATTGCGAGCATATCAATATATCAGTTGCCTGACATGTTGATCCAAATGATCATTTTTATAATTAATCATCAATTCATTCTAATAAATCTAATTATCATCATGTGCTTTATCAAGCTCGTCCTTTAAAAACTTAAGTAGGAATAAAAGTATAATTTTAACAGCAAAAATACATGTAATGTTGCAATAGGAAAAAGATTTTTTTATCAATAAGAAACCCTTAATTAATAATATATATTTCTTGTCAAGCATAATTTTGCCAAAGAAAAAACTTTTACTATGGTAATAGAGGTGGTTTTTCAAATAGATTTTGGTTATATTAAAATTTCTTTGCCGGGTTTTTAATACAAGTACTATAGAAACAAGATTATTAGATGTATTTTTGAGTATAAATTTAATAAACGAAACTTAGTTGTACGGTACTAAAACAATATTTAATAATATTTAATAAATATTTTATTATTAAGAATTTTATAA